TTCCTTTCTTCAGCTCTTTGTATTGCTTCAAGAATTCTCTGAAGGGCTGGTTTTGTGGACATGAATTCCTTCAGCATATTTATGTCATTAAAGACTTTTCTTTCCCCATTGACTATAATAGACATTTTGGCTGGGTAAAATAATCTGGGTTGGCATCTGTGGTCATTTAGAGCTGGGAATACTTTGGTCCAGGCTCTTCTGGCTTTCATAGTTTGCACTGAAAAGTCAGCTGTAATTCTGGTGGGTTTTCCTTATATGTGGCTTATTGTTTTTCTTTTGCAGCTTTCAGTCAGTATTGTCTCTTTGTTCTGAACATTTAGTGTTTTTACTATGATGTACCATAGAGAGTTTCTTTTCTGGTCCTGTCTATTTGGTGTTCTATGTACTTCTTGTATTTTTATGGGCATGTCTTTCTTTAATTTTGGGAACTTTTCTTCTACAATCCTGTTGAAGTTCTGATCCATATCATTATCCTGAGATTATTCTCCTTCCTCTATGCCTGTGATGTGTAAGTTTGGTCTTTTTTATGGTGTCACACAATTCCTGCATATTCCATTCTTATGTTTTCTTCAGTTTTTCATAATCTTTGCTTGAGTGGTCTCCACTTCAGTTCATCCACTTTATCTTCCAGTCCTGATACTCTGTTTTCCATTTCATTCATCCTATTGGCGAGGCTTTCTCCTGTCATTTCTAATTGGCTTATTGAGTGTTTCACTTCCTTCTTCATTTCAGCCTGAATATTCTTCACTATTTCTAATTCTTTTCTGAATTCATTCAGAAGTTTATCCCTATCTTTTTTCAGTTCTCTAGATTTGTGTGTTCCTTAAATTCACTGAATTCTTTTATCATGTTTATAATTGTTCTTTTGAATTCCATGTCCTGTGTTAGCTCTAGGGAGTTCTCATTGTACTCCTCTAGAGGACTGTTGGTACTCGGTGGTCATTTGGGTTTTTCATGTTATTTTTTTTTTCTCTGTGACTTTGACATGTGGATTTCTTCTATAGTTTCTGATTCTTGCGTGAGACTCAAGCCTTCCTTTGTTGAGCTAAGTCTGCTTCTTTTTGTAAACTTTTTGTGACTTTGTGGTTTACATGTTGGGCATGAAGAGCTGGGTGGTCTAATCTTCAGGTTCTCTCTTTTGATTTTATATTGGAGTGGCCAGATGGTTTTTGTCCTGCTGCTCAGGAGTTCCCACAAAGGCCCAAGTTGGATGAGGATCAAATGCTCTCAGGCTTTCTCCTAAGGTCTGTATCCCTCTAGTCAGCAGGCACAGTACAGTTTGGGAGGACTGCTAGGTAGAGGTAAGATTCAGGACTCTCAGGCAGTCAGGGAAATAGGCTGGTCTCAGGAATCCAGAGCAAGCAGGGAAGGAGGATGGTCTCAAGAACCCAGGTTGAGGGTGGGACACCCAGGGATGAAGGCCAGTCTCAGGTATGCAAAGGTGAGGTCAGGAAGGGAACAGACCTTGAGGGCCCCAGAGGAATAGACTAAGGAATCTGGTTAACCTGGGTGCAAAGGATCAGGAAGCCATGGGGAGTCTGGGCCAAGAGGGTAGTCCAGAGGTCTACCAAGAGAAGAAATGGGCTAGTGACCATGCTAGGAGGAGAGACGGGGTAGGGGAGCTGGGTGGGTGAATGAGGTTATGGGAGTCAAGGCACAGTGGGTGTGGTCAAACCTACCCAAGAAGGTTGCTGGCCTCAGGAAGCTGGGGGTTGGGCCGGCCAGGGATGAAGGCTGGTCTCAGGTATGCAAAGGCGAAGTGGGGCTGGGAACAGGCCTTGAGGGCTCCAGGGGACTAGGCAGAGGAACTGGGTTGGTCTGGATGCAAAGGATCAAGAAGCAGTAGGGAGTCTGGGCCGGCGGGCGGGGGGGGGGGGTGCTAAGAGAAGAAAAATCTGTACACTGAATTTTTTTAATTAATAAAAAGTTTCAAAAAGCAGATTTGCCGTTCATACCTTACTTGTAAACACACAGAAAGCAAAAATGTGTTCAAAATAAGTTAAGCTAGTCCTCCCATCTAGACATGCGCTGTTTTCATTCACTCTGACTCTGAATCACTTTATCCCTGTTCCACACAAGACCATCCTCAGAACCTCTGTGTGACAGGCAGAATTTCCTCCTAAAACTGAAAAAAAAAAGTCACTGACATCTCAGGATTCCGCACCAGCAGCCAGTACCTGTTCTTGAGTTCCAGTGAACAGACTGAGACAGGTACAACATGACTCCTGTTCCCAGAGATTGTCTTCAAACATGGAGGGATGATAAACAAATGATAAACTTTTTTTCAATATTAGGACAATTGCCGTCAGGCTCTGACACAAGAATGAGCAAAACACCCGGTTCTTGAGGAGCTACAGTGCAGAGAGTTAAGACCACAGACAAATACCAGGATGCTACTGTGGGTGGTGAGCACTTAATAATGACCGGGGTGGGGGGGTGAGAGTAGAAGAGGAGCAAGATGAGGAAGAGAAGAAGGGAGGAGCCGGAAGGGGGGCAGGGGTAAGTACGGAGGAGGCAGAGAAGCTGGGGATCTGGCCGCTGTGGCTGTGGGCAGTGGAAGGATGCTCAGCCTTTTGGCTTAAATATGGTGTAGAGGGCAGAAGAAGAGTGTGGGCAGAGGCATGCTGTACCAGGAGAACAAGCAGAGAGGAGCACCTACCCTGAAAGGGAGGGCCTTTTACATTGACCTTGTTTAGTATCAAGAGCTGTGTGGTGATGACAAAAGGCAAGCTCTGACAGTTCTCTCCAGACAACACAGCCCTTCCTGACTAAATCCGCTGCCCTGTGTGACTCATTGCTGAGGAGCTGAGAAATGAGTGAGGCTCAGTCAGGTCAGGGCTCATTATCACTAGCCCATATGGTTCTGTCATCTTACAGGCTATAGCCCACAGTAACTCACTAGATCCCCACCACCACCCTATGAGCTAGGCTCTATAGCTAGCCCCATATTGCATGAGGGAAAATGAGGCATTCAGAGGCAAGAGCCATGCTACAGGTTCCACAGAACGCAAATGCAGAGCCAAAACTCCCACCCAGGTCACTGCCCTGGACTCTGCTTTGCCCCCTGTGCCACCTCCCTCATGCTGGGCTTCAGTGTCATGACTGATGTAGCTCAAGTAAAGCTTGTCCTGATGGCCCATCAGGCTGTGGGGCTGGGAACAGGGCCATTTCCAGGACCCGGACTCCCTGAGGCTCCTCCTCAATACCTCCTATAGCTAGGTCAAGGTGGCGGAGAGCCAGATCTCTGGACCAGAGGGCTTCATGGATACCTGGAAGCTCCTTTTGTCTCAGGATGACTGATGTATGGTTGCTGGGATGCACACGTGACTCTTAGGGTCAGGGAAACTGCAAGACTCCATACTCGTTTGTGGAGAAGTTGAAGCCCCTTAATGGAGGAAAGTTAAGCTGGTGTTTCCCTGGATCACGGACCAAAAGACTCCAAGTAGGGTCTGAGGCCCTACTGTCAAGGTCAGAACCACAGGGACCTAGCAAAGTCAAGCCTAGAAAACTCAAGCTCCAAAGAGCCCTGGAGCCACTGAAAGGTTCAGTTCATTTTGGTACAGGGTCTTACTGTGTAGTCCAGGATGAACTCAAATTCTGCATCTTCCTGTCTCAGCCTCCAGAGTGCTTGGATTCCAGGTATGCCACACCCTGCTTGCTGGTAGACTTTGAAAATCCTGAACTGGGGTCCTCACAGAAGCAGGGCAGGCCTGTGCAGGAGGATTGAGCTTAGCATCTCCACTCAAGACCCATCCCTTGGGTAAAGCTGGGTCCTCTCCAACCCAGTGCCCTCCACTGCTGGGGAGGGCAGTAAGAAGCCTCCTTTGGGCCTCCAAGGGGGCAGGCACACACCTCGCCCACTGTCCAACCCAGTGCCAGCCATACTGCATAGGAGATAACGCTGAGTAGCCATGCTACTGCCCGGGGCCTCACCCTGACTTTGGGAAGAGGCTGAAGCATCTTGTCCCCCAGAAGCCTCCCTGCCTCTCTCCCCTCCAGCCTGGGCAGGCGCCCCTCTGGACTTGTTCTCTGGTATCAGCTTCACTGCATACTTTACAGCTGGCAGCATGATTGTAGGTACTCCACAAACAACCGCAGGAGTGGAGGATGGCTTTGAGGACAAGACAGGTTTATGGGGCTGGAGACACGACTCAGCAGTTAAGAGCACTGGCTGCTCCTGCAGAGGACCTGGGTTCAGTTCCCAGCACTCACACAGTGGCTAATAACCATCCATAACTCAAGTTCCAGGGAATCTGATGCCCTCTACAGGTATCGCACAGCACAGGTGCACTTATATACACACAGGTAATACACTCATACATATAAAATAGAAATATTTTTTAAAGACAGGTTTATTTACTGGGGACAGGGATGAGTCATGGCAAGGACGTGGTGCAAGTCCCCCATGTCCTCCTCAGCATATGCTCCAGGCCCAGTGTGCCCACAGCTGCCTCCACTCATGCAGCAAGTATTTTAAAGCCCCTCCTGCATTCTAGAACCTGCTATTGGCACTGAAGATGCAGCCGGCGACAAGAAGATCTGATATCTGGATCCTTAGACCTGGTTTCATTCCACAAGCCGAGTGAGACACACAGGAAATGCATAGAACACAAGCTAACGTCCGCTCAAGGTAAGTGTTCTGGAGTGAAACGGCAGAGGCCAGCCGGGCTGGGAGCTCCTTTAAAGAGGTAGTCCGAGCAGCGCTTAGGCTTCATTTTAACCTACTGGATTTAAAATCACCATGGAAACAAACACCTCTGGGTGTGTCTATGAGGTTTTCCAGAAAGACTTAACTGAAGAGAGAATCACACCCTGAATGTGGGCAGGCAGCACCATGCCACGGACTGAGGTCCCAGGCAGCATTCATTTCTCTCTACTGCACACACCTCACACCTTGATGGACTGCGTCCCTCACACAGCAAACCAAAGCAAACCCTTCCTCCCTAAAGCTGCTTCTTATCAGGTGTGTGGCCACAGCCATGAGAAAAGGAACACAGTCGATGAGGGAGCCAGCAATGCCTACAGCAGTCCTCAAAAGTACCAAGTCTGGGGTGCTAGAGGAACTGAAAGGAACCAGGGGCGTGGTTTTAGAAAGCCAGAATAAAAGGGAGATCGGTGAGGTCAGAGGTGCAGAAGCCAGGCCAAGAAGAAACCTGGAGATCCTGGTGTTGGAAGGACTTGAAAGACTCCGGTATTGTAGGCAGATTTTATTATGATCTGACTTTTTTTAAAAAACATATTTTTTGTGTATGAGGGTTTTGTCTGCATGTACGTAAGGCACCTGTGTCGTGCAATGCCCACAGAGGCCAGAAGAGGACATTGGATCCCCTAGAACTGGAGTGATAGACAGTTGTTAGCTGCAGCGTGGGTGCTGGGATTTGAATCCAGGTCCTCTGCAAGAGCACAGGGCAGGTCCCTTCTTCCTGACCCTCTTCCAGCTGATCAGTCCAAACCAATTCAGATAAGCCAAGGCTGAGCCTGGACACACCCTACCCATATTCTGAAATCTAACTTCCGAACAGCAGCCAGTCAATAAAAAGTCATCTGCTCTCTTCCAAGTCCAGTGCTCCCTCAGCCCATGAAGCAAGCATGAAGACCACATACAAGTGAGGAAACTGAGTCTTCGAGAGACCTAGAGTTCTGCCTGCCATCATCTGGCACCTCAGAAGCAGAGACACACCAAGACTCAAGCCGTGATTTTAGACCAGTGTACTTGCCTGATGCCTCTGGCCCTTCTCTGAGGATGACACCCTGTGCCACCAGAAAAGCGGGTTCTGAAGACTTAAGGAACCCATGCAGCCATGAAGAAGGATGGGCAAAGCTGGAAGGGGAATCTGGGCCACCTAATCCAAACCACTCCTAGTAGATAAGAAATGCTGAAGCCCAGAAAGGGAGGGTAGACTAGCCAATGTCACACAGCCTTAGAGGCCTGGGTCTCCTGCCACAGAGGATCTGATACTCTTCCCTCTAAACCACAGTTACCCTTCGGCAGTCAGGATCCAGTCAGAAGATCAAACTAGCAGAAATTCAACACTGGGAATTACCAACTAGCTAGCAGCAAGGAGAATAACAACCAAGAATAAAAATCAGAAGAGAGCTGGTAGAAAGAGCAGACTCCTGTGTGGGGCTGAGGCAGGGCTCCAAGGAAGATACACATTTCAAAGAAGCCCCACCCCACCGCAAGGCAGGTTCAGACCTCCCTGGAGAGAGTGTACCTAACAAGGACCCATTGGTGGTCAAGTTTGCTACGGCACATTGGGCATGCCTGGTGCTGCTGCTGAAATCAAACAGTACACACTGGGTCATTTATGCATCAGACTCACCTAGTACTCACAGTTCTGAGTCTGGGAAGTCCAAGATCAAGACCACAGTAGGCTTGGTGTCTGGTGAGGGCTGTTCTCTTTTTCTAAGATAGTGACTTGCCTGCTGGGTCCTGTGAATTTCTAAAATGCTCTGAGAAGCCTGGAAGTAGGGCTGGGGAGATGGATCAGTAGTAAAAACCACTCTCTGCTCTTACAGAGGATTGGAATTCCCTTCCTAGCAACCATGTTGGGAGGTTCACATGTACCTGTTTAACTCCAGCACCAAGGGATCTGATGCCATCTTCTGGCCTCCATGGGCACCTGCAAAGTGTTCATACACACACATATACACACACACACACACACACACACACACACCACAGACACACAGACACACAGACACACACACCACAGACACACAGACACACACACCACAGACACACATACACACACACATACACACACACCACAGACACACAGACACACACACACACACACACACACACACACACAAATAAATCATTTTTTGAGCTTGGCAGTGAATAGGCGAAGGGATGGGAGATCAAGGGGCCAGCTAGCTCCCTCCGGCCCTTTTACAGGCTTGCTAATCCACCTATGAGGGCACTGCCCTCGTGACTTAATCTTTCCCATATTATCACATTGTCAAGTTTCAACATGAATATGGGGGAGGGGGCTGTATTCAGATCTCAGACACCAGCCCTTGGTTACATCTCCCCGGAACATGAGTTGAGTCTCCTATACATCACTGACAGGTAGACAAAAGCTGGTGTGGAAGCCCCTGCTCACAACCAGCCCCAGGAGTAAGACGACATAATGAGATCACAGAAATGACAGTTTTCCTTTAGCACCCTCTACTGGTTAGACTTAGTATTGCGTCCACTGGTAAATGTTTATTAGCCCCAAGCCGATATCCAGCACACCCCTTGATCAAAGACAACAGATGATTCTCCAGCATGACAGTCAGAGCCCTCCACTGCTCAGTCCCTCCTACCTCTTTAGGTCCATCTTATCCACACCCTTCCTCAGTCTGCTGTTCCATAAACCGTGTACAATTTCCCCAGGAGGGCAAGCTGCTCTGTGCCTGTCCTCTGCTCAACTGTGCACAGCCTTAAGCTTCCTCACCATCTAAAAGCATGGTTCAGATTCCTACTTTCTGCTGGTCTCCATGCTTAGCCCTTGTCACACATTACCTCTTTTCATCTTGGATGGTGACTCAATTGTGAAGCATGCATATATCTTTTCACAAGCAAGAAAACTGAGGTCCCCAGTACAGGGGGAGCCCAATGCAGTGTTTCTCCTAACTTCCTCAGAGGCTCCACCCCTCCCATTTCAGGGCTGACATTCCAGAACCACCAGGTTCTAGTCAAAGGAGGAGGGTCAAGTCTGTGTGTCAAGTGTGCCCTTGCCCACTTTGCGCCAGAGTCACTCCATCCCCGCGTGTGTTTGACCCCAACTGGAATACTCTAGCTCCCAGCTCCAGTGCAACCTGGCCCCAGGTGGGTGCTTGGGGACCATTGTCTGTGATGCCCAGTTTGAGCATTACACTGGTTCAGATTTTTTTTGTTCAAGATTTGAATCTTTTATATCCTAAGACATCCCCAGGGACATCCCCCCCAGAGTTGCAAGCTGAATAAAAAGCTCAGAGTGAGCAGAAGCCATTGCCTGCAGAGCATCCTGGCCGCATCCCTCCCTTTGGTGAAACAATGTCTGGGCATCTGTCAGCTGGGTTGCATTTCCTGGGTTCTGACAGGATGCAGCGCTTCTTTCAAAGCTGATAATTATTTCTCTATTTCCTCCAGAGTCCATTTGGATCCCAAGACCACTTTCCACAGTCGTAACAGAGTCAACTTAGCATGGGAAGAGAGACTAGAGGAAAACGGGACCCCAAAGGGGAGGCAGACGGAGCAGGGGTCTGAGAAGAGAGGAGGAGGTGACACAAGGTGGGTGCCATGCCCAAGGCCTGTTCCCTGAGGCCTGGCCACTTGCTCTCTTCCAGGTGGATTCTCTCTGACCTGTACCCGAGTCTCTACCTCTCTCCCCTAGATTGCCCAGGACCACAGAGATTGTGGGTTAAACACAGCACCAGCAGAGAGAGCTGGCTAAAATCCCATTTCTACCGCCTCCCATGTTTTATATCCTCAGGGCTGCATTGGTCTGGGGGGCCTCTTGTGGCTGCCCCAGGCCACATACAACCCACCGCTGGCCACAGCTCTGAGGCCACAGAGCAGGGACAAAGCAAGGGGCATCACTCATGAAATCAGCCAAGACTCCACAAAGGATGGGGTATACCCACAAAGGATTCCTCACCTAGGCAGACTGACAGGGAAGTACACATGACCCTTTTAAAAGGTGCACTGGATGAGCCAACACTTGGCCCCATGACTCAACCCTCCGGGGCTGGCCAGGCCTGAGCAATCTTGAGCATGTGTAGGCCGGATGGGCAGATGCTCCCTGGTTTATTTCCTATTAGCCCTGTAATGGGATACACTGCATGTAATTGGTACATGAATCAAGAGACACACTCCCTGTCTGTTCCAGGGGCTCTGCTGGAAACCTCATTCTGTCCCTCCGCCTCACCCTGCTCTTCTCCATCTGGTCAACCTGACATTTCTAAGCCCAGCAGGGAAGAGACTTTGCTGAAACTCCTCAACTGGGGAGTGACATGTTCTGGGCTTTTGGAAGTGACAGAAATCAAGTGGTCAGAAGGGCCATTTTCCCTCCTTCCCTGGAGAACACTCTGCTCCCAAAAATAAGGGATTGGAGGATCCAAGTAGTGGCCCATGGGACAGACAAGTTGGCTTGGGACATCCTGGGAACCTGATCCCTAGAGCCTTGCTTCTCACATCCTGCCACTTGACTGTCCCCTGACTATCCCCACATCCCCAGTGCATCTCTTCATTCCAAGAAGACAGTGCAGGATAATGCACAAAGACCCACACATTCAAATTCAAATCTAGATCTAACTGCCAAGGCCACCTGCCTTCACCACCCCATGCCTCAGTTTCCGCATGTGTAAAATGAGTGTGAAGATGCCATTGTCCCTGGTATATGGTACAGACTCTTTAATCCTCCCAAGAAACCTGGCCCAGGGTGGGTGTGCCGTGCAGCTAACTTGATGTCGTGGCATCTCTTTCCCTCTGCTTCCCCCGAACCCCAGTCCAGTCTTCAAGGCTTACTTTCCATGATACTAAAGTGTGAACCCACCAGGAGTACTTTCATGCAGTTTCTTCCCCTGCCAAACATAAAATTTATGGATGGAGGGGTCTGGGGACAGAGCTCAGTCAGTGATGAGCTTTCCCCACAAGCATAAGGACCTGGGTTTAAGGACCAGGACCCACATTAAAAACCAAAGTCAGCCAGGTGTGGTGGCGCATGCTTGATCCCAGCATTCAGGAGGCAGAGGCAGGCGGATGTCTGTGAGTTCAAGGCCAGCCTGGTCTACATAGTGAGTTCCAGGACAGCTGGAGCTACAGGGAGACCTTGTCTCAAAAACACCAAAAAATAAAAAATATTTAAAAAATAAAAACCAAAGTCAGGCACGGTAGCACATACTTATCAGTGCTAAGGAGATGGAGACAGGTGGATCCCTGAGATCTAGCCTACTTGGCAAGCTCGAAGTAGATATATTGCTGAAAAAAAAAAAAAAAAAAGAAAGAAAAGAAAAAAGAAAAGAAAGATTGCTAGTACCTGAGGAATGACACCCAAGGTTGTCCTCTGGCCTCCATGTATGGGTACACACACACACACACACACACACACACATCCCAAATGGAGGGGACAGCTCATTCAAAAGTCCACCACCCCAATCATCACTGCCTTCTAAGTAGCTTGTGATACTACTCGGTCAGTTGTGGGTCAGGTTCACACATGGTGTGACAAGGAACTCCCAGTCAGCATGCACACAGAATGCAGCTTCATTTCGCCTGAAGATGAGATCACCCCAAAGAGGCAGGCACCCAGGAAACCCATGACAGTGGTAAGTGTGGCTAAATTCACATGCCAAGGAGGGTTAAGCAAGCAGACCACTATTAAAGTCCTTCACGGCCCTCACAAGATGAAAGATCATGGACAGCTCAGTCGGGTTCTCTGAGTCTGGGTTTCCTTCTAACATATACATGATAATGTAACCTGCATATACAGCTGCAGTGAAAATTCATCCTGAGCCCACATCCTGAGCCTGGCCTGTGGTAAGTACTCAGAAAATACTACCTACCAGTGGCTGTGTAGAAGGGTCTGACCCTGAATAATTAACAGAGGAGAAATCAATGGGGCTAATGAGTAAGCGCCCCAAAAGAGAATAATTTAAATATCAAAGTTCCAAGAGAGACCCTTAGGAAAACTTAGGAAGCCCTCAAGCGGTTTTGCAAAAAGCGGCCCTCTTTCTGCTTGGTCTGTGAAGATCTAACAAGGACCCTAACATGGCACCATGCCATCCTGTCAGAAAAATTCCACCAGAAACAGAAAAATGTGATTCAGTCTTTGTTCACTCTAAAAAATTAGTGCAGTTTTACGTATGATAAAAATAATGTTAAACGTAAGATATAATTAGTGCACTCTCATTACCATGTTTAGCTCTTACTCCAGTGACAAGCTGATCTGGTCTAACAGGGCGGGCCAACATCGGGCACATACAACGTTCACTCACACCAGTGATTCGACATCTATGATGCAGATACAGAAATATCTGTGCCCAGAAAGGAGGCGCAGGCCAAGAAAAACCTCAAGCAGCTTCTGCGGGATCCTGTGTGTGCAGGTGGATGTGTGTGGATGTGAATGTGTGCATGTGTGCTGTGTATGTGTGTACATGTTTGTACATGTGTATGTGTATTTGTGTACATGGATATATATGCACATGTGAACTTTTTCTGTGTTCTCTATGCATATGTGTATGTGTGGTGTTGCATGTACTGTGTACTTATGTGTACATCTGTGTACATGTATGTGCATGTGTGTGTATCTGCATGCATGGATATATGCGTGTGTACTTGTGTGTACATGTGTGTTCTGTGCATGTGTATGTGTGTGCTGCATGTATTGTGTCTCTGTGTGTACGTGTGTGCATGTGTGTTCATGAGGGTGTGCATATGTGTATGTGTGTTTACTTGTATGTGTACATGTGTACATACATGTGTGCATGTGTGTATATGAGAGTGTTTGAATATGTGCATGTGCGTGTGTGTGCGTGTGTGTGTGTGTGTGTGTGTGTGTGTGTGTGTGTGTGCAGGCCAGAGGCTGATATTGGGGTCTTCCTCAATCACTCTTCCCCTTATTTATTAAGACAGGGTCTTTCAGTAAACCTGGAACTCAATTAGGCTAGGCTGTCTGGCTGGCAAGATCCAGGGCTCCTCTGTCTCTACCTCCCCAGCACTAGGATTATGGGTGTGTGCCACCGTGCCTGGCTTTTTACATGGTGCTGGGCTAGAACTCAGGTTATCAGGCTTACGCAGCACCTTACTGGCTGAGCCGTCGCCCTAGCCCAAGCTTCCTGTTTTAGATGAATAAATACTTATCATGCCAGTCAATGGGCTGGAAACAGGGGCTGGGGAAACAGAAATACCTTGAACCCTGAAGGCCTGCAGTGGAGCTGGGAGGGAAGGGAGAGGCTCCAGGGCAGGGGTGAGCAGGGAGGTCTGCCTGAGGAGGCAGCATCCAGGAAACTGGAAGGACTTCTGAGACCCTAAGGGGACAAGCACTCCAGGCAGAGGGAACAGCACATGTAGAGAGGAGACGGAGAGCCAGAAGGGCTGTGCGGCAGGAGAGTGCAGTTTTAAGTAATCATAGCAACCTTCTTCTGAGGGTTGCCACTCCTGTGTGAACTTGGGGGTACAGGGGATTCCCAGAGCCCAGCAGGCCCTTGGCTATCAGCATTCATGGGAGCACCGTGGCTCGTGAACAGAAGTAGCCAAACGTTGCCCACTGGAGAGGAAGGGAAGAAAGGAGGAAACGGAAGAGCACCTGTCCAGGACACAAGTCGTTCACCCCAGAGTCTGCTGTAGTGGTAGGAGTTGGGGAAATCCAGGACTACCTAAAGGTCTGGCTAGCAGGATTTGCTGTTGACGGGCTTGAGCGTGTTGAAAAGGAGCTGGGCGTAATATAGGTGGTTTGGGTCTAAACCAGTAGAGGCTCAGTCCTAAAGCTTAGGTCAGTTACTGCAAACTGAGGGCTGCTGCCCAAATAAGCCAGGACTGCATGAGTTGGGCACAATGCCCACCACACAATGCCATTGGAACATATAGGACACTGCAGTGGGCCCCCAGTGCATGCAGGAGCTGTGCTATGTTACTGTGTACATACAAGCCCACCACAACAGGCCCGTGACCTGGGAATTGCTTGTCCCACTGAAGACAGGAGGGAAACTGAGTCCTGAGATAAGACTCATAGCCAGCAAGTAGCAAGATTAAGAGTGGAAGCTGGCTAAACTATGACCATAGAAATTTTAAGGTAATGTGTATATTATTTTTGTCTCATCCTTTATACATCATAACAAACCTACACAGACCTTCATCACTTGCTTAGGCTTTCTCACTTTTTCTGTCTATTTTGGAAAATATCTCCATTCCCATATCATTTTAACATATTTTACATTCTCATTTTCTTTTTTTTTGAATAATTATGAGACATAATAGCATTAACAAGTAAATTTTCCATCGGTTGTGGAAATTCTTTTCCTGGGGATGCTAAGCAATGCTTATTCCCTTTTAAGGTTTTAGTGTCAAGCCAATGTTTGATTAAAGTTTTACTGGGGAACCAATGAATTTATTGAACTTACTTAGGTAACTGAGGGGTTGCTGAGGTGTATGTATGACCTGAGGGTTTGCACACTGGATAGCCTTTACCCAGCGTGGGTCATGCCTTCTCTTCCTAGCCTTCCGCAGATTGTGTACTTTAGCCCTCCCCAAATCTAGGAGGCCATTTGTGATTCGGGTCAAATTACATACAG